TGACATGTTCAGGATGCATAATTAAATTGGTTTGCATGTGTACGTAACGTGTTGCTGCACTATGCACTATTCTCTCACCAAACAGCTGCAGTATTTCCAGGAAATCCAAGATTAAAGCGTGCACTTCTTGCATCCTGTGATACCTTGAAATTACACAAAAGTGGTAGCATCTAGGCTACACGGTTGGCCAAAATTGTGCTGTATATCCGGTATGTGGCACCTTTAATAACCTGAATTCCAAGCAAGTCATGGCTTTTTTTTTCCCCCAGGCAAAAAAAGCTACGAGGCCTATTGCGCGGGGTCGCGGTATGCGGAAACAGGGTCACAGCTCTAGTTTATCGCAGCACTGTCCTCCGCTCTGTCCAGTGCAAGAGTGGGTGCCACCTCATTTCAACGGGCATTTGTTGTTGTTGTATTGCAGTATCTATAAGAAAGAAATGTCTGCTCCCTTGTGTTAATTTTAATGGCCACTTTACTTACCCCCCCCCCTGTTGATGAACTGCACTGCGGGGCACATTGGGCCAAAGGCAAGCCTCAAGTCAAATTTTGTGGACCGCCACGCTGTAAGAAACAACAAACAACAACCGCATTGTCTGGTGTGTTGCGAAACTAAATAAATAAATTGTACATCGCAGTATCCGCGACGAAATAAAAACGTTCTTCAATAACACTGACGTCAAAGAAGAAAATACATAATCGGCGACATTTCGGGGCAATGGTCTTTTTACTTAGCACTTCAAGTGAGGCCACAGCGACGGAGTGGAAAACGAGGGTTAGGGACTGCACGTGACGCCCTGAGACCTGATGAGAATAAACATGTTTTTATGTTTTCCAGTGACAGGTTTTAAAATAGGCATATGAAAAGTTACCAAATGGGAGTCATTGACCAACGGCTGATCGACCGCTTCCATAATGAAAAATATACGGCACTGTACATACAATATCTTAAAATATTCATGTACGTTTAGATAAAATAACAAATTAAATGGCATTGCATCCTCAGTTATGAATTATCTTTGCTTACTCCATAGATTCTGCACATCATCAACGACTGCATGGCATTTAACATCTCCCCCTAGAGATGTTGACACTTGTAATCTTTCGGCACTGGTGTTGTTGATCTAATCCTGAATTATTATTGGGGCTACTTCTTGTTCACCTGCTACAAAAAAAACCTTGGAATAGATGCGCTTCTGCGGCCGTCTGGAACGCTCCTCCTTTCGAAATCAATAAGCCACTGGGAGCTGTGAACTTTTAAATCATCAATAGTGAAAACTCATTTCTTTAGAACTGCTTTCTGTGTTTAGTTTGTTGTCGTTTACCCGCAGCTCCGATGAGCACGGTTGGCTACGTACGGCGTGAAAGAAGTTCAACATACACACACATACATACTGGAGCGTGCATTGAAAAAACCAATAGTGCTGTGGTCATTGCCGAGATCATGTCATGGTTTTTTTTTATACGGCCCGACTCCAAATGTCAGTGCACTTGCACAAGGCTACGTTTAAAAAAACGGCTATATTTGTCCCCCACCTTCATGGGGCAAGCACTGAACCTTCAGGTGTCTCACAAAGCGCAATTGCGCGATGGCGTTCACGACCCAGTGAAGAACGTGCCACACTCGGAGAAGGCCGGGGTTTGAGCTTTGTCACGGGGAGGGGGGGGGGAACGCTCACAGCCCCATGATTTGAGCCCCTGCCAGCGCAGGCGGTGGTGACATTTAAACGTGACCGAGAGAAGGCGCAAAAAAAAAACACATTAAAATTACTCAACTAATCTGGCTTCTCAACACTGTTAATACAATTAAGCTATGAATAGCCGAAATGTGTGCGTGTGTGTGTTACGAGCATTAGAATGAAAGCAATGCACGTGCAGTGCTCTAGAAGAAATGTAAGAGCTTGTTTTTATCATATTGAAAGGATTGTAAGGAGACACAAGTTGCCCTATTATTGCTAGTTTACACACAGCTCGTATAATAGAACTTGCTAAATAAACTGCCATGACTTAGATGGTGTGTTGTGCACAGCCTACATTATTAACTAATTGACATTTTACATATACAGTTAAACATACAGTATATACTTTAAATCATTATGCAAACTCCAGGCATCCTCGCAGCGGCTTCTGGCTGCTGCCATCAAACAAAGGCGGTGGTTTCAGATGCGCTTCTGCGGCCGTCTGGAACGCTCTTCCCACCGATATTAGGAAGTTGTTGGAGCTACGCACTTTTAAATCACCATCATCATCATCTAGATTGACAACTTACTTCTTTAGAACTGTGTGTTGTGTTTAGTTTGTTGTCCTTCCCCTGCACCTCCGATTTGCACGGTTGGCTACGTACGGTGCGAGAAAAGTTCAACATACACAATGTATGTAAAGTCACTATGCAATACATTATTGTACTGTACAGATATACTGTAACTTCTTTTACAAAATGTATGTGTTCAAGTTACTGCTGTTACCGCGATAATAATTGGATGGTTGCAGTGAATTATACTACAGGGAATACGTCAACTCAGCATATGATGATCACCCTGAGGTCAACAAAATGAGCTCTCTACCACTACGTGAGAATCCCACTATGGCCTGCGTACAATACAAACTATGGCCTAGACTATAGGAATGTGGAGTTTTCACCACCGGTATATAGGTAACCGGCGAAAATCGCTGCTGCCACCGTTCCTTTTCTGACTTTTGACATGACCCCTATTTTCTTTTTTCAGTGAGCAAAAAAAGCTGTGGTCCCATATAAGGTTGTAAACATAATTACTGTGGGTCAAACAGCATTAAGGGAAACCCCACAGTATCACATAGGCCAATGGTGGATGTCAGAAAACCCAAGCGACCTAATGTTTGAGCCTCGAACCTTGAAATGCCGGTCAGCGTGGCCTTTTTGAATGTCGTGGTGGCAGAGCAGCATGCCTCAGTATACCTTCAGCCTTATTAGGTATTTGCAAGTGCATCATAGTCATGCCACCTGACGTGACGACTCATATGCTGCACATCATTCCATCGCTATTCGCGAGGGATACGTTCTGGAGATGGTTATGACCAGCAAATTTCGCTGATAATGATATTGGCCCACGAAAACCTATCTACAGGGTTCCACGGTGGTGAGATGTTAATTACCTCGCCTGGTGTACAGGAGGTCGTATGCTTGATCCCAACCATGATGCATGTAGATTTGGATTTTGCATATTCTCCCCGCGGACCTCCGGTTTTCCCTCCACATTAAGAAACATGCGTTTAGAGTATTTGGCTGCTATAAATTTCCACGTGATCAACCACTTCGTTGAGCTATCATTTGTGGCCAGGTTGCTTTTGAAAAAGAAGCTAATCGCTTGGTGGGCTTTACCTTGTAAAATGAAATCGTTTTAAGTTATTTTTTATAGTTTATCTTTCATCTCATCGCTTTATCTCTCATCAGTTTAATCACTTTTCTTTTTCTCTCTCGATGCGGTCGTGTGGAGTTCCAGATGCAATTCGCAAATAGCCAAGATCGCGAATAGAGAGGGAATCCTGTACTGTACGAGCTGTCTCAGTTTCACCTTAGTTAGGACTCTTCAATAGGTTCTGCAAGCATAAGCTAGCGTATCACTAATGCAATATTGGTAATACACTGCAGTGATGCGTTGGTCTCAAAACAACGATATTGATTGCTCGGATTTACCAGCACTCTAAATTTAATTCAGCTTGAAATTAATTGCATGCTCCTTTATTATACTGCAGTGTTTTACATCTTCAAGTCATAAAGAAGTAAAGAAGGATTTACTTTAAATCAAACAAATTACTGCAGCAGCTTCACACTTTATTGTTGAACTAATGAGGTATTTTCACCCTTTACATTTCTAAAATGCTACATTTATATTGGAATAGTTGGATGCATTCTTAGAGCATCTTTGTTTAAATAAATGTGGTGTAAAAACATACAAGCTATCGTATATGGACCATTCCGTTTTAAATGTGTACATTGTTCCAGATTTTATAGAACACTTATGTAATAAAATGACTTATTTCATAGCAATTACAATTCTGGACACACGCTAACAGCAACCGCCATAAATGTTCGGTTTTGTTGACACCAACAAGAGAAAAATGCCGAGATGCTTTCAGTGACCTCTCAAAAGGATTTGTCAGTTGGCTCCACGGTATTTCAATCTGCGCCGTAGTTTATCAACCTACACTTTCGGCAACGACGATGTTGATAGGTTTGAACAATAGCAACAACACATCCTTTTATTCAATTTGACATGGGGCACACGATTGGGATGGATTCCATTGTCCATGTTTATATGTGAACATTAAATTGGACAATTTTCGTACGTTTTTTTTATCAGTCCAGAAAATTCCAGAAAAACACACAAGATGAATTTCGTGCAACATCCGAGTCACTCTTTGTCTGCGTTAAAGGCTTGGACAAAAAATGAGATGCCCTGGGTTGCCGGAACCCTTCCAAGGTGTCTCGTATCTGTGGGTTAGTGTAAATGTTGTACTTCATTGCAATAGCATATTTGAGCAGATCGATTGGGTCAGATAACAAAAATGTGTCTGTATATATTTTTTATATCTATGTGTGTATAGATAATTTGTTCATACCTGTGTGTGTATATATTTAGTTCATACCTGTATGTGTATATACATTGTTTATACCTGTGTGTGTATATTTTGTTTATATCTGTGTGTGTATATATTTTTAAAAAGAAACGTCTTAATTGGCTCAACTGGCGCGCAGAGACAAATCAAGTGTTGGCGGGTGTTTCTAATTCCACCAATACATTGCAGTTAATTAGCAAATTTTGTTTTATATCTCATATATAGTAGCATACTCATGCTATGTTTAGATTTTTTAAAAGACAAGTTTCGCTGGCTGGATTCCTGTCTGACTGGCGGGGCACGTGCGTCATCACGCACGCATGCGCGGTGACGTCACCGCCGCGTTCGTGCGTGATGACGTCACGTCCCCACCCCTTGCTGATGGCTTTAGGCGGCAACGCAGCGATGAAAAATCATCCCAAATGGTGAAAGTCTTCACGTGTTTGTATTTCGTCTGTTCGTGAACTCTCTTCCTTCAAATACGGCGCCAGGACTTGAGAAGACCTCGTGCCAGGGTCAGGTTATCGTCGCCAATCGGTACGCAAATCGATCTCAAATCGATCTCAAATCGCAGCTCTCTCAATGTTCATCTGGGATCGTGGGACGCGTGACATTTTAATATTCCAGCGGTTCGATGCAGGCCCCAGACGTTCTTCATCCACGGTCAACGTTTATAATCTTAATCCGTGTTATTTTGTAGGTCCCGGACCCCGTGATTGTCTACAGACTAATGAATCTACAAGGTAAACACGTGCAGCTGTTATTAGTAGCTTTTATATGTATACAAACAATGATGTTTGTTTAAATAACGTGAGCGTGACCACGTCTAACGGACGTTGGATGAGCTGCAAGCCACGTGGAGACTTTACGATTTGGGATGATGTAATCGTTACGTACGCGATTACAAAAAAAATGTACATATATATTGGTTTGTACGGTGAAATTTTCATCTATTTTAAAAACAAAGTCCAGAGTATCTGGCGAGCAAATTCCACATTCATTCGGCATGAGCCATTCCATCCAAATATAACGATCACTTGTTGAATTGCCACAAAGTGGTAGTCATTTTAACCACCCCCGAGATGATGATTGGGCCGATTCGAGCGCTGTAATGAACCACCACTCCGGATCACGTTACACGTGACGCTATAAAGTTGGGGTCATTTGCAGGGCATCATTACCACTACTGTACCGTTTAAAGTTTACTTTCAAATGGAAACTCTTCAATTCAAAAGTTAAACGTGAGATGAATGTGGTGGTGGGGGTGGTTTGTAGCAACTCTGTTCATAACACGATGTAACACGATGTTTGTTAGTAAGTGTTATTTTATAATTTGGGGAAAGTCCGGTCCGCGTGCCGTATGAGGCCCGCGAAATCATTTGGTCAGTTCCAGCCATCACATTCGGGGTGAGTTAATTAAATGTTTGACCAAATATAACAGGCAAATTTTTAAGTTGATAATTTTGTATGGCCCGTGAATGATGTTATACATATCCAAATGGCCCTTGGCATGAAAGAGGTTCCCCACCCCAATTGCTTAAGCCTCAAAAGTACAGAAAATGGCTTTGCTTTTGTGACCAGGACTTTATGTGAAGGAATGACACAAATGCACACCACGTTTTCTCATTGAAAATAGGTACATTTCAAAATATCACTGTCCTGGTCACAAAAGCAAAGTTTGTGGAGAATAATAGCCACTTTCTGTACTTTTGAGGCATAAGCAATTAGGAAATAACACTCACTACTCAGGAACAACATTTGTTTTGTCACACATTGATAATCATAATCTTGGTCGTAAGGTCGATCCGTCTTTGGTCGCGCCATAGAAATGTGGACTTTCCATCACTGGCTCATGCATACCAACGGTAATTATAGACTCCTGTCATTATCATCACGGCGTCTTTAGCCAGTCGTCATTATCATTTTGGTCTGTAGAAATTAAAATCCACAACATTTACAATCTCCAACACTCGGGGGTGTGTTGCACTAGTAACGAAATGGCGCGTTCTGTTTCCGTGACAAACCTTACTGATTTGGCCGTGTCGGGTGGTGGCGGGTTTAGCGACATTCATATTTATGCGATCTAACAAAAAAAAACCTGTATTATGGATAAAATTGGTCGCGAAAGCCTAAGTATTAAGTCCATAGCGATCACATTAATTGAGACTAAACCAGACATATCCATGGCATTAGTAGCCTCTCTTAACATCACTTCTCCACTGATGACACCCAAATGTAAACTTGCCAGGACCGTGTAACTCCATCAGCGCAACATCTTTCGTATATCAGAATCTATATTTATAGTGGAGAAATCCGATGAGCTATAAAGCTCTTTTTTAACAAATGTCCAGTAGGGGCGGGTCAGAACGTTACAATAACAAACAATAGAAAAACACAATAGGACTGCAAAGTATAGGAAAGGTAAACAAATCACTAAAATATAATATATATTTTTTTACAAAGTAAAGCCCACCGAGCGATTAGCTTTTTTTTAAGAAGCAACCTGGCCACAAATGATAGCTCAACGAAGTTTGGAAATTTATAGCAGCAGCTGATATAACCTAAATCCATCCCAGCTACCACAGCGACTTCCATACATTTATCCATCACCCCCAGACTTTACAAAGGGCTGGAGAGTGCACTGATCTCGTGATCTCATTCTGTCCTATCTCAATAGGTCTATCTGCAACCCTATCGCCCGCATCCACAGTTTCCTTGCCCACACCGTGTCTGAGACCCTCATTCAACCACCTTCACCAACATCCTGACTCAGCTTGGGCAACTCTTCTACAGTATTTACTCAAAATTCCTCACCGAATTCCAGATGTCTGTAATTCAAAATTCAAGCTGCCACACTTATCACCCGCACCTGTAAACGTGGCCACGTCACCCCATAACTGCGCCCTTTCACTGGCTTCTAATTCAGTAGATATTCTGACGAGCTGTAGGTTATATACTCGTTTACACATGCGTACATGAACAAACATGCTCACTAATTGATAGACTTTTTTAACATCGGCATTGATCTTAGATTCCAAAGAACACAGGATGAGATGTTACTATCCTTTGTGCAAGCACTTCCAAGAGTTCATGAACAGTGAGCCTGGTGAAATTTGGGGAGCGCATCGTCAGTAGTGACCCTTTGGTTCCTAGGGTGTTTCGGCCTTTCATACTATACACCCTCCCCAAAGGCGGCCAGTGACAGGGTGATCAATCCTACGCTTGCGTCCCATTCCCAATTAGTCATAGGAGTTGCCTTGTTGTTGGTAGCCAACATCCCATGGGACTATGCATGGCAGGGGCGTCCTCCTCCCTGAGTCAAGCATTGTTGACTGCATACCTCCTGGCCCTCTCACTTTGGGGCCCAGCTGGGGTCTTTCCTCTTCATCCAGAGCCACTGACTGCTGCCTTCTGCCGCCTCCGATACAGCTTTGATTGCCGAACGCTGGCTCTGGCCCTTAATTCCCAGGTCTCTAAGCAGTCTGGTTGTAGATGTTGCCACAAAACCTCTGCAGCCCACCTCCACTGGTCGGACTTCTGTGTTCCAGCCATGATGCCGTGCTTAGGCAGCTAGATCGGCATAGCGCAGATGTTTTCGCTCATAAGCCTCATCTACTGAGTCCTCCCAGGGTACTGTGAGCTCAATGATGAAGACCTTCTTGAGCGAACGGGACCAGAGCACCACGTCAGGTCTTAGGGTGGTGGTTGCGATCTCCGGAGGAAACACAAGTTGCCGGCCAATGTCAGCTAGCATTTTCCAGTCGCGGGCCAAGCGCAGCTGGTCTCACTCTATTGGTGTAGAGCCGCTCTTCGGTGGTTTAGCCCCTTCGCGGACAAAGGTCGTCCGTAAGGGGTGTGATGCTGCTGGGGGTGGTAGGGAGTTGGTGGCAGCCCGCTTGTCCTCCAGGGCGGACGCAAGGTTTTTAAGGACTTGGTTGTGACGCCAAGTGTAGCGTCCTTGGGTGAGGCTTGTTTTACACCCTGTGAGAATGTGCCTGAGGTTGGCTGGCATGGAACAGAGGGCACAGTCCGGATCTTCACCATACCATTGGTGAAGATTAACTGGTGTTGGAAGGATGTCATATGTTGCTCTGATGGAGAAGCTCAACCGCCTCGCTTCCGTGGCCCACAGATCCTTCCAGCTGATCTTCCTCTTCTCCACACTGTCCCATCGAGTCCACTGTCCTTGTTTGGCAAGAGAGACTGCCTTGGCCCACCTTGCAGCCTCCTCCTGATGGCGTACTTCCTGCACTACCATCTTCCGCCGCTCTGGTGCAGTGGCCTTACTCCAAGCAGCACGGCTAGTTAGCCCAAGGCCTCCTCTCCCTTGCTGAACATGACCCACAATGTCAGCATGTCTGAGGGCTGCTGTTGCCTCCTGGACTGCTTTTCCTGGCCTCCATTTGCGTCCAGTTGCCAAGGTCGGCGCGTTGTTGCTCACCACTGGGTCTCGAGATTCATTCAGTGTCATCTGGAGCCTGGTTTTTGCACACTTGAATTCCTCGGTTAGACTGGTGAGGGGCAGCTTGAGGACACCATCTCCATAGAGGCCTATGGTGGTAAGGCATCGTGGAACTCCGAGCCACTTCTTTAAGTAGCTCGTGGCTCCTCTTTCCATCTTCTCCACTGTTGAGATTGGAACCTCATACACTGCTAGGGGCCACAACACCCGGGGTAGGAGACCAAACTGCAGACACCAGGTCTTTAACTTTCCAGGTAGCTGGGTGTTGTCGATGGACTGTAGGCTACTACTGATGTCTTTGCGCAGCTGTTGCACCTGGTCTTTGTCCTTCAGGCTTGCATCATACCACCTTCCAAGGCTTTTTACCGGCTGCTCAGACACTGTTGGGATTTGGTCATCTCCGATGAAGAATTTCAGGTCACAGAGTACTCCCTTCACAATCGAGATGCTGCGTGACTTGGATGGTTTAATCTTCATACGGGCCCAGCTGATGTTCTCCTCGAGTTTTCTGAGCAGTCTCCTGGTGCATGGGACAGTGGTGGTCAATGTTGTAATGTCGTCCATGTAGGCTCTGAGTGGAGGGAGGCGAAAACCAGAGTCGACTCGCTGTCCACCAGCAACCCATTTTGAGGATCTGATGATAACCTCCATTGCCATTATGAATGCCAATGGAGAAATGGTACATCCTGCCATTATACCTACATTCAGGCATTGCCATGAGGTGGTAAACTCTGAGGTGGTGAAGCAGAACTGCAGATCCTGAAAGTACGACTTCACCAGGGTTGTGATGGTGTCCGGTATGTGGAAAAATCTGAAGGCAGACCACAGGAGTTCATGGGGCACAGAGCCAAATGCATTGGCGAGGTCGAGGAAGACTACATGGAGGTCCCTTTTCTCCACCTTGGCCATTTGGATCTGGTGCCAGATCATGCTGGAATGTTCCAAGCAGCCAGAGAACCCTGATATTCCTGCCTTCTGTACAGATGTATCGACGTACGCATTCCTTTGCAGGTACTCGGCCATCCTCTGGGCAATGATCCTAAAGAAGATTTTACCCTCGACATTCAGTAAGGAG